CCCAGCGGCCCCGCCTACTTTCGCGTTAGCGAGCCGCGCCGCCTAGAACAAACACTCTCTACTGCCTTGCTGGTATAGTCGTTGTTGTACGCCTGCTCGAACTGGCTTCCAGTTCGTCCTCAGCAAAAAGCTCCGACCGTGCATGCGTTGTTGTGCGTTGCTAGCGCTGTAGTCTAAGTTGGTTAGATGCGTCGCCTTGGGAACTACGCGATTTAGTGAGCCTCGGGCCCTGGTAGTAGCGCCCTCGCTGCGCTCGGGACGCCGACAGCCCCAGGGCCCTCGGCTCACTAAATCGCGTAGTTCCCGCGGCTCAGCATCTAACCTATACTTAGTATATAGGGATTGGCATGGTACCTAGCATCATAGATGTATGGAGCTATGATAGGGAGTTTTGTTCATCTTCTTCTCCTTCTTCTCCTTCTTCAGATCGAACTCGCGTAACTCAAAAACGAAACAAGATACAATAATGAAATTTTGTAAGAATGTAGATATCCGTCACCCGAAGAGACTGGTCATACTTACTTCTTTGTAAACAACATTGTTTACTGTAAACAACAACAAATAGCCCCAGGCAATACATTATAATTGGATCACATGTGTCACTATAACTCACAAATGGTAAGAGGTATGTGAACGAAACTTTGTACACATAATGTATTCAATCACCAACATTAAAAATCACAACAACACATGTTTGAAAAAACAACAACAAATAGCCTCAGGCACTTTTCTTTAAATTTACTTCTTCACTTCTCAAACATTCCAATGGTAGCACACACAGAGATGAAACTTGGTATGTAGCTATGCCATATATATCATTTCCGTGATGATTACATGTTTCCATGACGACCGCATATTGGGTGAAAAAGCCTCAGGCAATATTCTTTAATATTAGTTCTCAAACTTGCTAACTGTAGCACGCATGGAGGTGAAACCTGGTGCGCATGTGTATTACATCGTTTCTATGACGACCACAACAACAAATAGCCTCAGGCACCTTTACTTCTTCACTCCTCAAACTTGCTAACGGTACCACGCATGGAGATGAAACTTGGTGCGCATGTGTGTAACATCGTTTCCATGACGACCACAACAACAAATAGCCTCAGGCACCTTTACTTCTTCACTCCTCAAACTTGCTAACGGTACCACGCATGGAGATGAAACTTGGTGCGCATGTGTGTAACATCGTTTCCATGACGACCACAACAACAAATAGCCTCAGGCACCTTTCCTTCTTCACTCCTCAAACTTGCTAACAGTACCACGCATGGAGATGAAACTTGGTGCGCATGTGTGTAACATCGTTTCCATGACGACCACAACAACAAATAGCCTCAGGCACCTTTCCTTCTTCACTCCTCAAACTTGCTAACTGTAGCAAGCATGGAGGTGAAACTTCGTGCGTATGTGTATTACATCGTTTCTATGACGACCACAACAACAAATAGCCTCAGGCACATTTCTTTAAAGTTACTTCTTCACTCCTCAAACTCGCTAACGGTACCACGCATGGAGATGAAACTTGGTACGCATGTGTGTAACATCGTTTCCATGCCGACCACAACAACAAATAGCCTCAGGCCCTTTTCTTTAAAATTACTTCTCCACTCCTCAAACTTGCTAATGGCAGCACACATGGAAATGAAACATGGTATGCATATCATTTCCGTGACGACAACAGCCATTTTTTCTCTATTAAAAGTTTTATAGGGGCTTGCCCCCTTCCACAGAGATAATACGTAGTAGTATATAAAAATGAGTGGAGACAAGTAAATTAAAAATCCTGCGAATTAAAAAAAAGAGGCATATAGGGATCGTATAAAAAGAAAGGGAGACAAGATAGGGATGGGATGCATGAAGCATGGTTAACGAACATATTTGAGTATGCTGACACCCCCAACCCCATCACACAATCCCTATATTGTTGCGTATTGAACAATACTCAGAACTTACAATACACTACTGAGTAACCAACACCCTTATAGAGTCCAAGTGGAGTTTAAAAGGGAATGTGGCAGTATAAATGTTACTAAAAACAACAGGGACACAGTGAAAGAATGCTTGCTTTTAGTAACCTTTAGCCCCTATAAGAGTAGCACACCAGGCAACAATATAGGGATTGTGTGATGGGGTTGGGGGTGTCAGCATACTCAAATCTGTTCATTAACCATGCTTCATGCATCCCATCCCTATCTTGTCTCCCTTTCTTTTTATACGATCCCTATATGCCTCTTTTTTTAAGGCTATATATTAATTTTGTTGTCATCATGGAAACGATGTTATATACACACATGCGTACCAAGTTTCACCTCCATGCGTGCTATAGTTAGCAAGTTTTAGGAGTGAAGAGTAATTTAAGAAAAGTGCCTGAGGCTATTTGTTGTTGTGGTCATCATGGAAACGATGTATACACATGCGTACCAAGTTTCACCTCCATGCGTGCTACAGTTAGCAAGTTTGAGGAGTGAAGAAGTAATTTTAAAGAAAAGTGCCTGAGGCTATTTGTTGTTGTGGTCGTCATGGAAACGATGTAATACACATGCGCACCAAGTTTCACCTCCATGTGTAGTAGCGAGTTTGAGGAGTGAGGAAGTAATTTAAAGAAAATGCCTGAGGTCTTTTCGAACATATGTGTCATGGAAACATGTATGATATATAGGCATACGTATCAAGTTTCATCTCCATGTGTGGTACCGTTAGCGAGTTTGAGGAGTGAAGAAGTAATTTAAAGTAAAGTGCCTGAGGCTACTTTGTGTTGTGGTTGTCATGGAAACATGTTTAATACGCATGTGTACAAGTTTCACCTCCATACATGCTACAGTTAGCAAGTTTGAGGAGTGAAGAAGTAATTATAAAGATAATCGTCTGAGGTTTCTTCAAACAGTATGCGGTCGTCATGGAAACATGTAGTTGTCATGGAAATGATATAATAGGCATATGTACCAAGTTTCATCTCTATGCGTCCTACCATTAAGGAGTTTGAGACGTGAAGAAGTAAATTTAAAGAAAAGTGCCTGGGGCTATTTGTTGTTGTTTATAAATGTGTATTGTTGTGTTTTTGATGTTGGGTATTGAATACATTATGTATACAAAGTTTCGTTCACATAGCTCTTACAATAATTAATGCGAATTACACTAAATATAAGTTAGACCGCAGTCACGCGCAATTGACCAATCAGATTACAGAATTGCGGGGGGTTTATTTTTCATAGACACCTCGTTTCAGGTGTGTAATGGCGTTTGCAGGTGGTCTACAGCAAACTCCCCGTACAAAATGGCTATTCTCAAAAGTCGTTATCTGCGCAAACCGGCCGATTCCGCGTTCGGTATAATTATGTAAGCGTAGAAGGCGCGACTGGCAAAGTAGCTCTTTTAAAATGCGTAGTGCACCTGCAAGAAGTCTGTGGACAGTCTCCGGAGCTCGCGAAAGTCAGAAATCACGTCAATATTCCACGAAAAAAGCGTCGGCTTCTTCAGCTCTGGCGATACACAAACACATTGGGCCGGCCGTTGCCGTGCGTTGCTAACCCTTTCAAACGCGCACCACCAATGAGGGCGTTTTATGATGACGTAAACGATATTTGACGGGGGGCGGGGCTGTCTCCTCGGAGTCTCACACGTAAAAAAAAGCGTCTTGTTCCATCCGAAGGTAAGGAATGAGGAATGAGCGCAGCGTTGCTAGCTTGTTGCTACCCATTTGAACGCGCAAACACCAATCAGATACTCCGGTCTAAACCGGTTAGACGCGGAAGCTCGGTTGTCTACGCAACATTGCAACCCTCGGGGCATGTGGGTAGCGCCCTCGCTGCGCTCGGGACGCCAACATTCCACAGCCCCTCGGGTTGCAATGTAGCGTAGACACCTCGCTTCCGCGTGCTAACCTATATTTAGATGCCGAGTCCAGGAAACTACGCGCATTAGAGAGCCGCGGGGGCCCTAGGCTGTTAGGCGTTCGAGCGCAGCGAGGACGCTACTAAGGGCCCCCAAGGCGCTCTAATGCGCGTAGTTTCCATGGACGAGGCGTCTAACTTGTTTAGAGCTATGGCAACGCGTGCGCGCAATTCAAATTCGGTGCATCTGAAACCGCGAACGAGCGCTGCTTTCTCGCTGGGAAGTCGAGCGAGAGGCCCAGGGAGGACGTCGACAACGGGCTCGCCTCTACGTACCTTCGCAGACCGTTGGGGGACTGACTCCGCCCAACGTAAGTGAGCCATTGCGCTTGCGCCAAATTCAGAGTCCGTTTTTAGAGTCCGGAAAATTCGCTCTACTCAATTAGAGTCCGCGCACGGACCAATCAGATTGCGCAATTTAAATTACCCAGCTCTAACACAATGTATGTCCATTATAATGTATTGCCTGGGGCACATTTTTAGTTGTTTACAGTAAACAACATTGTTTACAAACAAAAAAGTATGACGTTGCACATGTGGTTATCGATACACACATTCCTACAAAGTTTCATGACTTTATCTCTTTCGGTTTTTGAGTTACGCTGGTTGAAGAAGAAGAAGAAGAAGAAGATGATGATGATGAACAAAACTCCCTATCATAGCCCCATACATCTATGATGCCAGATACCATGTCAATCCCTATATACTAAGTACTACCGTACTTAGTGATATAATTATAAATAGATCATGTATGTATCTAAATGTGTTAGAGAAATGCTTAGCCTTAGATAATATGTTATTCTTCAGCAAAGCTTTCATGAACTTATATTCAAAACTTGCCAGGAGAGATTCCCCCAATGCATTGACGAAAGACTTTGTTTGCCAACTTGCACATAGTGAGTTTGCGAAGAAACATGTGTGGTTTGTAGACAAATATGGTTGTAGCGTACGCAGACATATTGAAGATGGTGTATGTATACCAGCAATGAGTCGCCACGTCTCACGCAGATCGATATGTTTTTTTTATTTTACTCACGCATATCTATTTAAACGATACGTTTTTTTATTTTACAACGCGTGCATACGAACTGTGCACTAAATAGTATCATTGCAAAGCCGCTCTGGTGCTCATGAGCCTGGTCTGCACGTAAGTTTTATTCTCTCTTTCCAGATTTTATATAATTATATTTCTATTTTGTCTATTTTTGTACGGACTTATTATACAGAGTTTTTACTGCCTCTTTCGTTTTACAAATAATATGGTTTACAAATATGGTTTAAGTAAAACGAAAGAGGCAGTAAAAACTCTGTATAATAAGTCACTACTCCAAATTGTAAGCAGAGTCCTCAGACCATGCTATATTATAACTATAATGTAGCTTGGCAGATTTGCTCACTATTGTTGTTCAACTATTTAAAGCATTTATTTTATGTGGTAGAGAATTCTCCATCGAAAAATCTATGAAAATTTCTCATACGTGCTTAGAATTTGTATGTGCTAATGGAGAGTGTAGTAACGGTGGGCTGATATATTATTCATCTCTCCAGTTCAGCGGTCTTCCTCGCTTTCATCTGCTCCTACACCATCTCCACCATCAGCTGCGGAGAAAAGTCAGTCACACTCTTATAGTATCTATATGCACCAGTTTTTTTGGAATGAAGCTCTTGTTGCGCTTACTGCCTGCTTCCATTACCACGCTGTCTATAGTGTGTTTCATGCTTCATGCAGAATGCAAGGTGATCAGTGGAGCAAAGCCTCTGATAACTGCTCTAAAGGACCTTTCTCGTTGGAAAGAGCTCGGTTTGGCACTGGGCGTCCCGTCGGAGGAACTGGAAGCCTTCGAGAAGTATAACGAGGAGGCGGAGCTGAAGAAACGAGCAAGTGCAATATTTTGCGTGTGTTTTGTGCTTATTTAGAATGACGTAGAACGTTACGCTAGTGACAGCGCCCAACCAATAGTTATATTAAATTCCTGCGTTGAAACGACTAGGTAGGTATGCTTTGCTTGCCAATAGAATACAAACTCTGAAGGAACTGCTAAAATGTTTTTATAAGAACGGGGTTTAAATGGAAAATGTCCCATGATAGGGTTTTGGGTTACGATGTGTGTTATAATATAGCATGTGGAACTACACTCAGTGATATACAATAGGGCCCAAGATAAAGCTGGTCATGATGTATACGTGTACATACCATAATAAGTGTATATAATTTTTTTAATGCACATCACTAACGCATGTTGTGTTAAAGGTGTCATACAAAACTGAAAATTAGTGTTTCTCTTTATGTGGTATCATTTTCTCTGAATTGGACGCATTTCACCACTGACCGCAAGATGGCATAAATATTATTTTACAAACTGAATTCAAAATTTGTGCGGTTGTGAAAAATGCACCTGCAAAAACGGTGAAAAATAGAATAATTTTTTTATCGTGGCAGGCGATTTATCGTGTGCTGCAAAAGTTAGCTGGAAGGGGGCGTGGTGTTGATCTGGTTGCCTGGATACATGTTTGGAGAGATGTAGGAAGAGTAGGTGGGCATTAGAGAGTGAGAGGGAAATGGCCCAGCAGGGAGGACACCTGGCGGACCACTACCATAGTTGACCGGACCACCCCCCATCACTCCAACACTAACGGGACCACTCTGGACGACCGGAACGCCACCCACCCCCCCATATGGACCATAGGGGTATAAGGTTGGTAGGAGTGGTAGAGAAGGGGCATGATTAGGGAGTGAGCCTGCGACACTCGTGAAGGAAGTTCCAAATCGAGTGCTGGCCGTAGCGAGGTGGTTAGAGAAGGGAATTGAAGATGATTGGTGCTGATTGAGTGCCTGAAGCCCCTGTACAAAGTGTGTCATTCCGGGGTTGGAGCTGGTGGGATGGTGTGAGGGGAGGGAGGAGGAGAGGGAGAGGGAGGGGAGAGGGGGAGGTGGAAGGGGTTGGGAGAGGACGGGGAATGCAGAGAGGGGGGTGGTGCCGAGAGGGAGATTGGAGGGAGGGAGGAGGGAGGATGTGTGGGAGGGAGGGGCTGGGAGAGGGAGGGAGGGAGAGGAAGAGGCGGAGGGTGGCGTACTGGCAATCTGCAGAGGAGAAAATACAGCGGACACATACACGATGGCAGTAGAACTACAGCATTGTCTGGACATGATAGAATGCTAGCTTCACCATTCCCCTTGCCACTTTGCTGCGTTGCAAAGCTACATCTATCTTCGTAGCACAATGCGATGCGGCACTGCACGTCAGGGGCAATGCGACGTATGTGAACCCAGCCGAAGTAAAAATGTTCAGACATGAAAACTAAACGGCTCACGAATTACTCGGATAGAAAGAGAGTAGATAAAGATAAACAGGACTGCAATTAGGCTTCAACAATAAGGGCTTACTCAGGTAATCCAGGACATACAAATCAATTTCCTTTCTACTATCAGTGCAAACACTAACACAGTACATAGTAACATTCAGACAACTAGTTTCCACTAGTTAAAGATACTGCCCTCTCCCCTTTCCTCACATTCCCCCACCCTCTAAGATACGCACGCGCACATGTATAAACAACGGCTGGGAAAGCGTCAGCCAATGTCAGACCGCCGACGTAGTACAATGTACACTCGGCAACTGTCTGGGGGAAAGTGTGGTTGAAAGACAAACAACAATGCAATGTGAAAACTACGAGGTAGAAAGGCAAAGGCACAACAAGCAAACCAACTACACCTAGGACAGCTGTTTGTATAAAAGAAGAGTTGCCCCAGGTGGGCATTCGAACCCATGACACTCTGCAGTCTAGGCGAGCGCTCTACCAACTGAGCTACCAGGGCAGCTCAGCAGGCAGGGGCTCAAATCTACAACACAATACAAGGCAAAGGCAACCTCAAACCACTGTGCCATGGCACAGTAAACTCTCACTTAGCATGCAGGAGCAGACCGGGGTAATTAAACCACCAATGATGCCCAACTCCATGCACACAACGTACAGTGGAACCTCCTCGCTAGCTATCCGTGCCAGCGCTTACCGTATGCGCTTACAGTACATTACAGACACTTAATACAGCAGTTCCAATGTATACCTGTTGGGAGGTGAGAGGGTGAGGAGGGTGTCCAGGATCAAGCAGTGGACTCTCAGGCAGTGACCGCGAACCTCCTCCTCCTAAACATCCCCCTCCCTCCCCTCCTCTCCCTCCCCCCACTCCACCCCTGGAGAGGGAATCCTGTGCTCCAGTGTGGAGAGGGGAGATGGATCTGGCTGACGAGCTGCGTGGAGGAGATTCCAGCGTTGTCTGTTGTGGAGGCGTGGCCAGTGGGTTGAACGAAGTGTGACCTGTAATGCCAGCATTACCTGCAGACAGATCGAGGACAAAACAGTAGAGAGATCAATAATACAGATCAAAGACCTTTAGAACCCAATGGTGAAAGTGAGAGGGGACGACGATAGAAAGCTGGTCTATAACATACAACATTTTGTTGGCTGTGATTTGCACAAATTCAACAGTTTAACTTCTCAACCATTGTTGGGCTCACTGAACACGCTGAATTTCGTGTCTTCTGTCCCTACAACTGGTGAATTCTACGGCATTAGTATTATTGCTGCGCTCGGAACGCCACAACGCAAAGGTCCCTCGGGCTTCTAATGCGCGTAGAATTCACAGACTCACTTTCTAACTATTATTTATGCACATCGTCTGGATATTTGAGACTAGTGGGGTTTGCCTAGGTTTTTGCCACCATTCTTCTGCCTCTCCCCACACTCTCACGGTCGACTCACTGAGATAGATGGTGTTGAGTTGCTCATCAAGGTGAGGGAGAGGAGAAGAGTGGACCCTTACTCCTCCTCCTCCTCCTCCTCCTCCTCCTCCTCTTACTGCTCCTCCTGCAACTGCAGGTGGTGGTGGATGGAGAGAGGGACGCTGTTGGTTTCCCACTACTGGTGGAACTTGAGCCTCTGATAGTGGCTCCTCTTCACCTGTGTGCAAGGTTATGGGAGAGGGAGAGAGAGAGAGAGGGGAAAGGGTGAGGGGAAGCTTAATGCAGAGTATATACAGCGGAACCTCCGATAAGGGACCCTCTGAGATAGGGACGACCTCTTTACAAAGGAACCCCATGCTAATACTTTAGTGTATTATTTGACCTCTGAGATAGGGACGACCTCTCTACAAGGGACAAAATCGTTGGCCCCATAGTGTCCCTTGTTCAGAGGTTCCACTGTAGACACATCCCAGCAAACTTTGCCCAATCCAAGCTGTGAGAAATTGGCAGGCATTTACATGCACAACTGTGTGCAGCCCTCAGTGATTTAGCGTCACGTTGTGTACTTCCAACCACAATTTCTTACGCACAGCCAATTAAGGAGACTCCGAAAAAAGGACTAAATAACCTCTCAATAAAAGACACCTTGAGATCCCAAACGTTCAACGCTCTATTTTTCTATAAAGAACAACCTTCCTAAAAAGTGGTCCCAACGTGTCCACTCTTCACAAGTTCCACTGTACACTAGAAGTAAGTCTAAAGTGGTGAGTCATACACCTACGTAGTACATACCATCTCTGAGGAGAAGTATCTTCCTCTGGAAGTTTCTCTGCTGTTGTTTCTCCAGCTCTGACTCCAGGAGGTATAGGAGGTAGTCATCCATCAACATGTGGATCAGGTGAAACGTACCTGCACAAACACACACCAGTGGCGGATCTAGGATTTTGAAAGGGAGGGGGGGTGGGGGGTTCCGCTGTCCAGAACGTTTTCAACCCGGCGACGCATGCGCGCAAAACGACAAAAAGAGGGGTTCCACGGAACCCAAGGAACCCCCTGGATTCGCCACTGCACACACAGTGGTACACGGACAGGCAATTACAGTAGAACCTCCAATAAAGGACACTTCGAAAAATCTTCTCAATTAACTTTGAGGTTCCAAGCATTCAACGAGGTCAAAGACAAATCAACTACACTCAGGACAACTCTTTTTCTCAAGGAAGTAAAAAGAAGAGCTGCCCTGGGTGGGATTCGAACCCACAACACCTGCAGTCTAGGCGAGCACAACTGATCTACCAGGACTAGTGTGTACATTTCTAACCTCCAAAGAGAGGACAACCTCCCAGTAAAGAACAAAATGACTGGTCCCAACGTGTACATTATTCAGAGGTTCCACTGTATACAGTATTGCACACACAAATACAGTCTCTGATACGCTCTTTGTTGCATGCCAATCCGCATGGCAATGAAATCCGACTATCTCATTACGTAATCTATAATTTTCATTCGTAATAGAACAAACGTACCGAAACTCGGGGCGTTCTGGAGCGTGATCTCCCGGCTGATCTTGGAGGTGAAGAGTTTCCACGTGAGGATAAACATCTTGCTCACTTGGAGGAGGTCCCCCTCATTAGTGCCTCTACATTGCTGCAGGTCAGAGGGGAAGCAGCAGGTATTTCTCATGCATTTCTAATGATTGACCAAAACAGGGCACATCAAAACCAACAGACTCTGTACATATGTCATATCTGCTATGGTTAAGAATGTATATAATATGCCAAATGTTGACAGTGGACTCTCATTGACACAATGTTTAAATGCGTAATTTTTCCAACTCCTAGAATGCATTGGACCTAGACTCATGAATCAATTAGGAAAATCTGAAAACTATTCTCCTGTTCTACATTTGGCACAGGCCACGAGGAACCTCCTTAAGTCATCCAAAACCTTTACATTTGCATTGTACATGATCCTAAAGGTGCATGCTGTTCCTCCTAACGGAAAGAGTTCAGGCATCTGTTTGCTTTGCCAAAATCGCAGAGAGATTTCCAGTGGTGTGTATATACAATGGACAGACCTTGACAGTGGTGTGAAGGATGGACTGCCCCACTCTACAAAGTCCTCCACACTAGTCTTGTCCTCCAGGAGCTCCACAACTGTCCCGCAACTGCACACGAGAGAGAGAGAGAGAGAGAGAGAGATGGCACATTTTTACATCTGTACCGTAGCGAGAGAACACAGTACTATACACCGCAAATTTTGGTAGAATTACGAAATTTGCAGAGCACACTAGTGTACGAAACTAAGATTTATCGTGACTAGAAGGCGTGTTCTGAAAAAACTCACACTCGGGGATGATATATGCAGGGAGGAGGAAGGGATACTCAGTGGCTGATGGCAAACAGGACGTGGGCCAGGACTGCGTGCATGTCCAGACTTCCAGTCTCTGAACAGCTGAGACAGCTGGTCCTCTCTCTGGAGGGCCTTCCGGGTCGCCTGCACTCAGGAAGGAGATCAGAGGGAGAGGTGCACTTGCTGTAGGTTCAGTTTAAGTGTATACTGCGTAGGTGTGTGTCAACAAATAGGGTTGCAAGGCACAACAACAGAACGTACACCAATGGGTAGCTCTGAGCTGTGCGCGGCGGCGCGTCTGGTATTCGAACCCACGACACTCTGCAGTCTAGGCTGTGAGCGCTCTACCAACTGAGCTACCAGGGCAACTCAGCTGGTAGGGGCTCAAATCTGGACATTACTGAGTAAACAGTCAACAATGATTTTGAGCACAAAAACAGCAAACTGAAGTCGAAGAAATAAGCCCATCTCTTCAGGTAGTTCGTAGCAAAAGGTGCTCAAATAATGCCATATGATTTTGCCCTGTATGTTGTATTTCTCAGTCAAATGTAAGGTGACAGTAAAAGGTAAGTAAATCGGGAGTTACTGTACATAGTATCTCACAAACCTTGGCCAGTTCCATGATGGCAATCTGCCTCTGAGAGTCTTCACAAGGTCGTTGCAGCTGCAGAGACGAGCCATCATCCAAACACCATAGCACATGCACACACACTACACACACATACAGTGTTGCTCTCAATCAGTACGTGAACGTGTATGTTTCTGCGTATTGTGTAGCATCTAGAATAATATGTACTTAACAGCAAGCAGTTTTATCGCGCACATGTGCGCAGTAATTTACATGTGATGCACATAACCCAAGTGTGAGTGTGTGCATGCAGACTCAGTTACTATTTGGCAAGCAGTAGAAGCAAAACCTGACTAGTATCTAGCAATTTCTATTTTAGAGCATGCTGTCAATGTCACTTCTTTCACCATAAAATCCTACTATTCGTTGACAAAAGACAGACATGTGAATAACAAGCGTCGTAGCCCTGTAAGAATTTTAATGTCACGTGTTAACACTTTAGGGGTTTCTGCTTGTATTTAAAGGAGTACGCTATAAGAAATGCTACAGTGAGCACTGTTCTAAGCTAAGAGACTCACACTCTTTTGTTTGGTGTGCTCTGAGGGTCTCAGGGAGACCATCCAGTGCAGTGTCGCACGGTCCCGCTGGCCACAGAACTTTATGGACATCTTGTGGAGCATGAGGAGGGATGTACCGGGATTCAGGTTTCAACACAATAAAGGAGGGGAGAGGAGTTGAAGAGGAGGAGGTGAGGAGAGGAGGCAGGAGGAGGAGGAGGAGGGAGGAGGACGGGAGGAGGAGGAGGAGGAGGAAGAGGAAGAGGAGGAGGAGGGAGGAGGAAGGGAGGAGGAGGGCAAATGGAGGAGGAAGGAGGAGGGCGGGCAGGAGAGGAGGAGGGTGGAGGAGGGCAGGAGAGGAGTGAGTGCGGAGAGGAGGAGGAAGGAGGGAGGAGGAAGAGGAAGGAGGAGGAGGAAGAAGAGGAAGGAGGAGCGTGTAGGGAGGAGGAGGACAGTGAATAAGGACATGTAACGCGATAGAAAATCAGGACATGCATTATTGAATCGTGAATTCATGATGTATACTTATGATGTGGTACATGATGGATCCCTTATCGGAGGTTGTTGGACACTTGATTATGAGTTACATATAATAACCTCTCAGGGAAGCTCTGGACAGGGGAGATGATGAGAACGGAGGAAATGACTGAGTAGAGGATAGTATCACAGAGAGCCACCAGGTCACCGACCACAGTACTGGCCATGACCGGGAGGAGGTGATGAGGCATGGCCTGCCCAGAAGTGGAGCAGGAAATCTTCCACCTGCATGGGGGAAGGGGAGGAAGGGTGAAGGAGAAGATTAAGAGAGAGGGAAGGAGGAAGGGAGGGAGAGGGAGAGAGGTAGGGAGAGGAGAGAGAGGGAGGGCCGAGGGAGAGGAGGAAGCGTCGGGAGGGTGACGAGTGCAGCGAGGCGCAAAGGAGGGAGGGTAGAGAGGGAAGATAAAACTCAGTATATGCTTTTCAGGCACTCACGAAAGCCTCTATCCTATACATACTACTATAATTTCATGGATGGTAGGCGTATTGCACACAAAAAAAACTTAAAACAGTCGCGACTAGACTTGTGAACAAAGACTATACACTAGAAAGAGGCAACAGAACGAGGATGCAGTGCCACATGCATACAGTAGTACTATATACTACAGGGGGAGTAGGAGAGGAAGGAAGAGGTAAGGAGATGAAAGAGGAGAGGGTAAGACCCTGTAGTTGTATAAACCTCATTGAAGTTGGCACGAGACACACTGTCCAGGATCCTCTGACAGTGGGTGCGGTACATCACCATGAATGTGGTCAACTGTAGAGACAGCAGAAACACACCACCATCATTGACATCTACATAATTATGTACAATAGCTGGCAGAGAAGTACATGATGTGGCATGCTCGAGGCTGGGCACCCCAGTGTCCTGCTCTCATGTCATGTCCCGTGTATTTGTGTATGTGTTTTTTATGGATATTATGGGATTTGTGGATATATATTGGTGGTGGTTGTTACATATTTATTTATTTCTCTATCTATCTATTTATCTATATATACCCATAGCTGGTATGCTATGAACTACATGCCCACATGTCGCTCGCCTAGACCGCAGAGTGTCGAATCCCACTTAGGGCAGGAGATGTCCTGGGTGTAGTTGGGTTATTTGCTTTGCCTTTGCCTTGCTACCTCGTTGACATCACATGCACAGTTTTTTGTGTTCTTGAATTTCGCTAACATCAAACTGCCTGGATTTACAGTTTCTGTCAGTTCTAGTGCATGCTTAAACCAAAGGGGACAGACACAGACATGCACCACAGTTGGATACTTGAGGTGTACACATTCAGTATGTAAGAACTTGGTAGCCACATTGTACTTCATATAGAAACTTCATATAATATCGTGCTGGCCACAAACTATGTACGTACATTGTACAACCAACTGTAGATGCCCTTCAAATCACGTGAACGTTTTCCACCTCAAACCTTTTCTTTCTGAGCGTTCAAGATAACTAATATATACATGTAGTGTGTACAAAACACTGTATCAAGTTTTCAACTACTGGCCGGTATTATATGTACGTATGTATGTACGTGTAGTAACCTTGTCTTTGGGGACCTCCTGCTGTAGTTTGAGTTGGTTGATGTCAGGGAATGGTGGGAGAACAGCACTCGGGTTCTCCTTGGGGTACACTGGATGGACCTGTACATATATACACCGTTAGCACAAACAGCACAGTAGTCTAGATTACCACAAAGTAAAGGAACATGCTGACTATCTGATTGTGAGGACATCAATCAATGGCAAATGGGAACATCACTTTCACTCAGATTCCTCATATAATAGTACAGTCTGAGGACACAATTCAGTGGCAAAAGAGAATTTCGTGAGAAAATCCCAATTTCTCTTAGTAATGCATACATATCCTCTCTACTCACTAATATTCATGGAATAATATAATGTTCACTTGCTCAGATTGCTACACGCATACAACATAATGAAAAAGGGTTCGCTAATTAAAGCACACACCTTCTTGGAGTCAGGTTCCTTCCTGGACACCCTGCAGGGAAAGAGGGAGAGGGAGAGGGAGAGGGAGAGAGGGAGGGAGAGAGGGAGGGAGGAAGAGAGAGAGGGAGAGAGAGAGAGGGAGGAAGGGAGAGAGAGAGGGAGGGAGCGAGAGGAGATTCTAGACAACCATAAGACTGTGGATGGTGCATTACTCACCCTTCTTTCTGTCTCATTAAATACTCTTCATTGTAGTAGAGAGATGTGGGCTTGATACCCAATCCAAAGTAGTGGTATCTGCAAATCATGTATAACATACAGGTGTCATTGGCAAGTGAAGCGTGCCTAGTACCTTGTCGTCTCAGTGTGGATTTTTAACCCTCGGCGTGCATGCGCAGCGAGGGTTACGGTAGTCATTTTGTCTGTCTGTGTGTCGACACTTATTCTGGCACTACAGGCTACGAGGCGGCCCATTAGCGATACCAGTGGATTCAGAACTACGCGAGCCCGAAAAATAAACGGGCGATTTTCCTGAAACGAGAGATATGCCGTGAAACAAGCAAAAAAGCCAATATTCATAATCGCACTGGGCTTACCGCGACCTGATCCGCTCACTCAGATGTCTACCTTGGGGGCTAAGGAAGTCACAACGAATGGCATGTATCGACTCCCGCATGCTATCTACTACTGTAGCTAGTCTGTGTCAGACTCTCCGCGAGCTATGTACTAGCGGGAGACCACGAGTAAACACATACAGTACAAATAGCTGGCCCAGCCCATCAATTAGCAGTATCGCGCATGCGCAGTTCGCCGAGTGTTTCCACTTCAGTGCTATTCATTCTTTGATGGGCACTGCATGTATACATGATACTAAATATGTGTGTGAAAAATTGAGCTATATACTCGCACTCGATTGCCAAAAACTGCTGTAAATAGACTAGTGAGAGCCCTTATGCAACTTGTATACGTAAGCTGCAGAAAGTGACGTCCCTTTGTTCCCAGCCGTATTGTCTGTGATAAGGCAGAGGTGGGGTATCTGTTTCCTGTACGCAAGTCATACACATGCAGGCAATATTCCAGAATCCCCAGTTAGCTTGCCAAAAATGTGTTGCATTCATTCTTATTTCCTCTCTAGAAAACTGCGGTATTTTCTACATGTGCATACAGCTATAGGTGTACAATACAGCGCCATGTCTCATATACACACATGCACACTCTGTGATTGAAAGAACATTCAATGGACTTGCTCGAACGCTGCTCTAAAAACAAGTGGGATGCCTGGAATATTTGCGTGACTTGTATAAGCCCTAACCATCATGTCTTTGCATTCACGGCTGTATCGCCCGTGAGATGCCAGAATCCTACAAGTCACTAGGTCTAACACAGTAGGGACCTCCGAGCAACCTCTCTACTCTACAAAGAACACTATTTTCTAATATACTAGTGCACTATTTGACCTGCGAGATATACAGGGACGACCTCTCTACAAGGACAAAATCATTGGCACCACAGTTTCCCTTGTTCAGAGGTTCCACTGTATTCCAGACTCCCTGCAGTGCACGTGAGACTCACTTGGATTTTCCTCTGGTGCCCAGTCTTCTGGTGGTGAGGGAAGAGAACTGCTGCCTGATCAACTGCAGTACATAGGAGACAAACAACACATTAACCCTTTCTCCTCTGAATAATACCCTTCAGTTAGCCATGAAACATTGTGTACATGAAGTTACAATTTCAATTTTGGTGCAGTTTCATTTCTGTATATCAGGGTGCCATACGACAAATAGGCTTAGTGAGTGGTCTCGCAACAGGTAAAGATCAGGAATGTTGGGTGAACGATGTACTACGTACTGTATACACATGTGAGAAGCGGAGAGAGAAAAGTTGATGTTTTCTCCGTTTTCCCGCTCAAGAATGAGGTAGCAGATTCGAACCCACGACACTCTGCAGTCTAGGCTAGCTCTACCAACCGAGCTACATAATTATATATATGTACCAGGGCAACTCAGTTGGTAGGGGTTCAAATCAAGACAACACAAGACAAAGGCAAGCCTCAAACCACTGTGCTATGATGGCACAGTATACTATCACTCAGTACGTACTGTACGTGCATGTGCAAACCCAAAAGCCTGGGTATGAGGCTACATACATAATTATAACAAGCTTGACACACATTGCATATGTACTAAAGGCATGCATGAAGGCACTAGCTAACCTTTCCAAAGCTTGCGGCATTGATGACGGGTTGGATGTTCTGTCTCTCACAGAAGTCGACGTAGTGTTCGTAGATTGTGCTGCGAGGAAGACACACCCCTTCTTCATAGTGGTAGTTGAGCTCCAACCTGGAGAGAGGGGAGAAGGGAGGGGGGAGGAGGGAGGGAGGGTGAGGAGAGACAAGAGGGGTAAACGACAGTGAGAGGAGAAGGGTAGGAGGAAGGAGGGAGACAATAGGGAGGTTAAAAAATGAATAAGAGGAATCAAAGGGTTAGAAAGGGTGAAATTAAAGAGTAAGTGGTGTAAGTTACTATTTTTACCACTGAATTTGCTCACACATACACTTTAAACAGCAGTGAGGGGGGAATAGGGAGAAGGGTAGGAGGAAGGAGGGAGACCATAGGGAGGTCAAAAAATGAAGAAGAGGAATCAAAGGGTTCTTAGAAAGGGTGAAATTAAAGAGTAAAGTGATGTACTTCATCTTTTTTTAAACTGTATGGGTTGAATTGTACTACACCAAGGAACAATAAAAATATAAGTTACTATTTTTACCACTGAATTTGCTCACACAATACTTTTGGCTGTGGATGTGCATGGATAGGATCGATAGAGGTGGGAAAGAGAGGAGAGGGTTGTTGAGGAGAGGGTTGTTGAGGAGAATGTGGAAAAAGTGCAGCAAGAGAGAGATGAGGGAGACAAGAGGAGGAAGCAACTCCAGACACTGAAAGACAATAGTCTGCTATCCAAACACTGTAGAACCACAGTTACAGATTCCTAGCATTGTGATGTCACTGATTAGGCGTCACTAATCAAGCTGTTGTATGTAGCATTCTCTTCTCATGAAATAACATGCCTTCCCTAGGAAACTAATTAGTATTCCTGAAAGGTTGGAATTGCACAATAGATGGACCCTCCCTATTCTCGGGATAATATAATTTACTCCCATCATCCGACAAGCACACAAGTCAACCACACCTAGGACAACTCTTTTTCCCCAAGGAAAATGCCCTAGGTGGGATTCGAACCCACAACACTCTGCTCTCTACAGGTGAGCGCTCTCAGCGTAGGATACCAGTTTGATTGACTGAGAGTAAGCAAATTGGGAGAATCAGAATGATATTTGTCAAACTCTCTCAACGTTGTAAACCAAGTGCTAGCCGCCAAAAAACGAGGGAAGGAGCAGAGGGAAGGAACGGAGGGATGGAGGGAAGGAACGCTACACAAGTAAGCCAACCTAGACATCTGAGCAGTCACACAGCTGTAGTTCAAAGTCATGGTCTACAGTGTACACTTGACATCTCCCATAGCAAAGATAACACACTGTTGTTCCTTTCAGCCAAGAACAAGCTGGTGTGAGGAATTCCTTCCTCCTTCAGTTGAGAAAAAACTACAAACAATTCTCCCACATACTGTTTCCCCACAAATCAGGACCTTGCCTAGAATAGAAAAACAGTCATGGCAATGGAGAGTAAACTCCCTAATTTCTTCCCAATTAGTTGCCAAGCATTGCCCTGCTAACGCTCATTGTGGCTATGGCCAGTTGGTAGTGCCACGGCAACCAACACTCCACGGTCAATTAGCAAAAACATCTCATTCCACCCTGTACTAACTGCCCACCTACATCGGCACATTAGAACTAAACCCAGTTGCCATAACAGAGAGGGAGAGAGCAGAGTACTTCATTTCAGGTAATTCCTGGCAGTGGTGTGCTGAGTGTATATTGGGTTATGCTGATGGCTGGGCAGAAATAGAGTGGGTCCACTCAGACACACGTTCCAAATGCCACACGCTAGCCAAGACAGTCTACACACTCCAACCTTATATCGGGATAATTAGCCACCAGAATATCACTATACACACTACTGGGTATAATACACTGTACTTTGCACACACACACAGGGGGGAGAGTGCGTCGCCACGGAGATTGTATACATGCTCTTGCATCGCCGTGGTGACACACAGGGCTAGGTTGGCAGCGGTGTCCACTTTCGCTTACGTGGCATT